CATTTTCAATAATCAATACAAGATGGCAACCATAATTTATTAGCAGTAGGGGGAGGAGGGTGGGGGCAAGCGCTTGCCTGGTGTAAAGGGACCGGGCTGTCCGAGAGACTGGAGGGTCTGGTCTGTCTGTTGACTCACCGGGTTGGCATGCCAGGGCCGATGACTGACAGGCCGGCCGCACGCTAGTTCAGACCCAAAAGGCATCGACTGTTTCCCTTTTGTCGATATTAAGAAAAACGACACCGAGTCTTCCCTATAGAGAGTGAGCTAAGCTGGGAGTGAGGAATTACCAAGATGCCTCTTTCGGCAGAGGAAACAAGGGTGTCGGAGCCACTGTTTGTATTCAGGATATTTCCTCCATCAAGCACAACTGGAAAAAATATTTCCGACACCTCTCACCAAACCCAGCCCCGTCTTGCTTTTAACTCTGGGTTTGCTTGTTTCTGTCTCGGCGGCTTGTGGATGGCTCTCCCTCGGTGCCTGGCCCTTAGACAGTGATGTAACTGGTATCTCTCGAAGCACTCGCGAGTGTGGGATATACACAAAAGAAGATCTCCTTCAATATACGATGACTGGTGTGTTTGCCAACAACCCCGCTTCATTAGAAAATTGGCACGTCCGGCCAGCTGCCATGTGACACGCCGTTAACTGTGGACATTTGCTGTCTTAATACTCAAGTACTCAGGGACTCGACTGATAAGGGAGAAAGTGTTTGGAATCTGCTGAACCCCACGCTTAGGGTGCCACGCCACCTCACGGTATTGAAAATCAATAGCCACGTGACTGCGGGAAGGTCAGAGGTGCCCAGAATTAACTTCCTAGTACTAAATTACTATCCCTTGTTTCTTGGCTTATTTTCTAACAATAACACGTTTTAAGGGGGCCTGGTCAGAAACCACTCACGGGCACAAAGTGGGAAAGCCAGAACCGCCGGCCGACAGCTGCCAGTGTCTCCCGCCAGCCCCGGAAACATCAGGACGCCGAACGCTCCATCCATCTGTAACTCGGGTTCTTTAAAATCTATTTCGTCTTTAGTGGTGGCGTTTTAATCCTCACGTGCAAGGATGGAAGCTGGTGTGGAATCCGTCCATCTCTGACTCACCACACAGTGCAGCTTAGTAACAACTTGGGTGCTATCCCCACACCAGGATGGTGCTCGGGAGGTCACAGCGCGACGTAAAAAGGGGACAGAGATGTGCTCCTGGGAAGATTAGTTTATCAGGGAATAAGCTCCAGCACCTAACCACACAGAGTCACGTCTTCAGGTGTCGCTTCTGAATGAGACTCGGCCCCATCCCCAGCCCTCACGGCCCCGTCCCCAGTCCTCAGCCCCGTCTCCACCCCTTGGCCCTGTCCCCAGCTCTAGCTGCCAGAGCATGAGCTCTGCTCACCTTTACACTCGGGAAAGGACACACAGTTGAAAAGAGGGAGTATTGTAATAGCTTTTTTCAGAGAACTGTGGATATTCTGCTTTGATCCTACATCCGAACTGTACAAGTGGGAGTTTCTTCCAGTTCAGCTACAGAGCAGAATCTGAAACCCTGTCCGTGAGCTTCCACTGCCCTGACCTCACCAGTCCATCTTGTGCTATAAAAGGTTCTCTGACCAATGCGTGATTTTGGTCATTTGGAAATCGGGTTCACTGAGGCCGATCTTCCAAATGTTGATGTGATTCATTACCTAATACTAAAAAAAGTAGCATTTGTTTATATCACAGTCTCATTAGAAAAATCTATTCAGAGGCTGTAAAGCTCATAGCGGTAGACATGAGTTTTCAACTGTACTGAATGACAGCCTTCAACAACTTGCCTAAAATGTTCAAAGTATGGAATATGTGATGCAAAGAAGCAAATGCGACACACACGTTCACGAACTATTGTAAGGATGCTAGTGAATGTACCAGCCAGTCTAAGTGGAACAACACAGGACAGGACCTGAGTGTGGCTGAACGTCGAAGTTTCCTACAATATTCTATCTTTCTTCCTCTGCCCCAGAGGCAACAACCTAGTATTTATCATCCCCTTTTCCCCTTTGTAAAGGTTTTATTATGTACACGTGCATGTTCATATGTGTGTGTGCATAGGTGGTTGTATGTGTGCATATATATTTAAAGCAACATATATCCCTCAAGACTTGAAGTTTATTGAACGCAGTACTGGAAGTCCTAGCCACAGCGATTAGACCACAAAAAGAAATAAAAGGCATTCAAATTGGTAAGGAAGATGTAAAGCGTTCACTATTTGCAGATGACAAGATACCATATACAGAAAACCCTGAAGACTCCACCAAAAAACTACTAGAACTGATAAATGAATTCCGTAAAGTCACAGGATACAAAATCAATATTCTGAAATCTGTTGCATTCCTATATGCTGATAATGAAGCAGTGCAAACTGAAATTAAGAGAAGAATCCAGTTTACAATGGCACCAAAAACAATAAGATACCTAGGAATAAACTTAACCAAAGAAGGGAAAAGCCTGTACTCTGAAAACCAGAACACCGATGAAAGAAATTCAAGACGATGCAAACAACTGGAAAGACATTCCCTGCTCTATTGTTAAAATATTCATATTACCCAGAGCAATTTAATGCAATCTCTATCAAAATAACAACAGTTTTCACAGCACTAGAACAAGCAATCCTAAAATTTGTATGGAACCACAAAAGACCCCAAGTGGCTAAAGCAATCTTGAGAAAGAAAAATAAAACTGAAGGTATCATAATTCCAGACTTTACTTATCTTACAAAGCTGTAGTAATCAGAACAGTATGGTACTGGCACAAAAATGGACACGCAAATCAATGGAATACAGTAGACAACTCAGAAATAAACCCACAATTCTGTGGCCAATTAATCTTTGACAAGGCAAGAATAGGCAATGGGAAAAAGTCTCTTCAACAAATGGTGCTGGGAAATCTGGACAGCTACATGCAAAACAATGAAACTGGACCACTTTCTTACACCACGCACAAAAACAAACTCAAAATGGATTAAAGACCTAAGTATGAAACCTGAAATCATAAAATCCTAGAAGAGAGCATAGGCAGTAATTTCTCTGATGCTGGCCGCAGCAACTTATGTCTCCTGAGGGAAATATAAACAAACTATTGAGACTTTATGAAAATAGAAACTTTCTGCACAGCGAAGGAAACAATCAACAAAACTAAAAGGCATCCTAGTGAAATGGGAGAAGGTATTTGCAAATAACATATCCAATAAGGGTTTAGTATCCAAAACATACGAAGAACTTCTACAACCCAAAAAACAATGCAATTAAAAAATGGGAAGACAAGGGGCGCCTGGGTGGCTCAGTCGGTTGAGCATCCGACAACGGCTCAGGTCATGATCTCGTGGTTTGTGAGTTCAATCCCCACGTCGGGCTCCATGCGGACAGCTCAGAGCCTGGAGCCAGCTTCGGATTCTGTGTCTCCCTCTCTCTCTCTCTCTGTCCCTTCCCCACTCAAGCTCTGTCTCTCTCTGTCTCTCAAAAATTAATAAACATTAAAATTTTTTTAAATAAAAAAAATGGGAAGACATGAGCAGACATCTTTCCAAAGAAGACGTCCAGATGGCCAAGAGACACATGAAAAGATGCTCGACGTCACCCATCATGAGGGAAATGCAAAGCAGAACCACGATGAGATCTTCCCTCACACCTGTCAGGATGTGGCTCAAATCAGAAACACAAGAAGTAGTAAGTGTTGGCGAGGACGTGGAGAAAGGGGAATCCTCTTACACTGTTGATGGGAATGCAAACTGGTGCAGCTACTCTGGAAAATGGTATAGAGGGTCTCCAGAAATTAGAGGGTAAAATCACTCTGCTTTCCAGCAACCGCACTACTAGGCGGTTGGGCGGTTACCCAAAAAGTACAAAAACAATGATTCAAACAGATACATGCACCACAATGTTTATATAAAGCAGCATTATCTACAATAGCCAAAATAGGGAAGCAGCCCAAGTGTTCATCAATGGATGAATGGATAAAGAAGATGTGGTGTATGTATACAATGGAACGTTATTCTGCCATAAAAAAGAATGAAATCTTGCCATTTGCAACAACGTGGATGGAGCTAGGGAGCATAATGCTAAATTAAATAAGTCAGAGAAAAGACAAATACCATATGATTTCACTCATGTGAAATTTAAGAGTTTATTTTGAGAGAGAGCAGGTGAGAATGAGTGAACATGTGAATGGGGGAGGGGCAGAGAGAGGGGAAGAGAGAGAGACTCCAAAGCAGGCTCTGCGCTCTCAGCACAGAGCCACACATGGGGCTCGAACCCATGCACTGTGAGATCACGACCTGAGCTGAAATCAAGAGTCGGATGCTCAACCAACTGAAGGCATCCCAGGCGCCCTTCACATGTGAAATTTAAGAAGCAAAGAAGCAAAGGAAAAACAGAGAGACAGAAACCAAGAAACAGACTTTTAATTACAGAAAACAAACTGGTGGTTGCCAGAGGGCAGATGGTGGGGGGAAAGGGGAAACAGGTGATGGGGATCAAGGTACATTTGTCATGACGAACGCTCGGCAATATATACAAGTGCTGAATCACTAAACTGCACACCTGAAACTGACAGAACACTGCATGTTAACTATACTGGAATTTAATCTAAAAACTTAATAAAAGGGGCACCTGGGTGGCTCAGCCGGTTGAGCGTCTGACTTCGGCTCAGGTCATGATCTCATGGCTCGTGGGTTCGAGCCCCGCGTCGGGCTCACTGCTGTCAGCGCAGAGCCCGCTTCGGACCTTCTGTCCACCGCCCCCACCCCCCCCCCCGCCCCTTCCTCACGTGTGCTCTCTCTTAAAAATAAATACATCTTTTTATAAACTTAATAATAGAAAAGCTCTTGTTTGTGACCTTTACAAAATTAGTACCGTGCCCCAGGCAGTCTCCCGCAGCCTGCTTTGTGGACTCGTGACCCCGAGACTCGCCCACACTGTGGCACGGAGCTCTACTCACTCTCCAAGCGGTGCGATTTCCACTATGCACGTACCTGTCCTTCTCTGGACGGGTGTCTGGACTGACCACCGTTTTCACTCTTGCACCCAGGCCTGGCTTCTGGGCACACACCAGACTCCCTGGGGAGTGTGCCTGGGGGAGAAATGGCTGGGCTAGGACACCAGAGGGTAACCCCACACGACCGTGCAAAGTCACTGCACACACAGCACAGACTAACTGCCCTTTTCCAGGTCTTACAGGGGCTCTTCTTCAGGTTCCTGGAACGTTAACCATAGTCAGCTCTTAGCGTGCACGGCCATTTGTGGGTGTTCAAGAGTTGCTTCTAGAATGAGAAGTAGGAGAGCTTCGCTGCCCAGTGGGATCAGGACTTATGTTGAGGTGGTGGCCTTGGGCTTCACATCTTCATAGCTGGCTTGTTTGGGAGCAAAAGGCTAATCCTTCTTGTGGGGGGAAATGCAACCTATCACGGCGTGTTGTAAGGATCGCAGCCCCCAGTTCTGATGAAGGATGAAAATGTCAGCGTTTTGTTGGTAACGTCCCGTATTTACTAAAGTGCTCTCTGAAAAGGCCTGTGACAAAGAAGGCTCTGTCGTGCCAACACAGGGACCGCCATTTGACCAGACTTTACAAGGCGCTGGGTCTCAGCGCTCAGTGTGCAAAGTGCCAAGATGGACGACGCCCAGGGGAAGGCCCCACAGGGTGTTGGAGGGCACCCAGAGGTCTCTCTTAAAATGAAGGACTTGCCAGAAGGTTCCCAGAATGCTCAGAAAGCTGGCTTTTCACCTCCGCAAGTCCCTGGTTCTTTTCTGTGTTGTTCGGGCACAAATTCTAGAAACGCTTCTTTTCAGAAACTTCTCCTTGTAGTTGGTTTGTCGAAAGCAGGTTCCCGCAAGCGTGGCCAGAATGCGCAGCCACGAACCGCATGGCTCAGGCTTCACCGTTCTCGAAGCCGGCTCCAACCTGCGGACAAGCTTCCGTCAGACGCCTGCCTCCCCGGGCAGCGCCCTCTGTAAGTGTGGGTCTCCCGGACCGCCTCGTGGTCACTTCTGCCCCGGCAACGGCTCTCTCTGTTCACCCGCTGCCGTGTTTTTCCAGCTGCGAGAAGAGCTTCTGGGGGAGTTGTTCCAATAACCGTCATCTTGATCTTAAATGTAAACATTGTCACCGTGGTTCAAAGAGAGATTAATGGTTTGCTGACGGCTCCATACGTCCTGAGGAAATGACGCGCCAGAGGGACACGCAATCGCCATCTCATTTCCAACGCCAGTGGAGAATCCACACCCACACGTGGCCGCGGGTGTCCCTGGGACTCACGGTAGGTGCTGCCCAGGTCTGGGGCTTGGATCTACTTTCTGAGCAACTTGCCACCTGAGAAGGAAGTGTGGCATTTGTCCCCTAAAGAGGGACACAGGAGAAAGGGCCGAGTGCCAGCTCTGCCCTCGGTGCAAACTTTGAGGCCACGGCTGGAGCTCCGTTCCAGGGACAAGATGGCAGGAGGATCACACAGGTCTGCGTGGGACAGCCTGTGGCACTCAGCCACTCGTGATCTGCAGCCCAGCCCCAGGCCCCTCCGGCCCACTCTCTCTGGTTCCCCGAGCTGCTGCTCACACCAACTCCACGTCGTGTGCTAGCAAGGCAAACCGACTCCGACCAGTTCACCCACTCTTGACCCCACGCCTGCTTCCACCTGCAAAGCAGCGCGGGACACGCTGTGGGCGGCCCTGGGGCTCGGGATGGCCCCTCTCGCTTAGGTCTGGGCCTCAAACCCCACGCCGTCTTGACAAAGCCAGGCCCGCGGCGCTGTCAGGGCTGTGGCCTGAGTGTCAATACCAGGAGGACCGGCCAATTATACTCCACATCTGAATTCCTTATATTTTCTAAGTGTTCTACACTAATTAGTGAGTCCTGTTAGCTCTAAGGATTAGTAGCTTCTCTAAGAAGACACAGCGACGTTAAGCGACTTACCTAATTATGTAAAACACGGGATGCAGAGACGAGCAGGCTTCTCCGCCGGGCAAGGCGCCTCCGTTCTCATGGGTCCCCAGGGTGCCGGTGATGCAGTCCTGGCCTCGAGGACAGCGGGGTGCTAGGTGAGGTCCCTGTGATCTCCTTGGGGCCTGCACTCCTCACAGCCTATCTCCCCTGGCAGGAACTCGGGTCTTGTGGCCGTTCCCTGCATGGGGCGCTGGGCGAACTTCAGTGACAAAGGAGGGATTCAGGAAAGTCCACCATCCCCGGGCAGTAAGTGAGGAAAGGCTGTAAGAGGAGGCAGGTCTTTGCAGACCTAGGGGGCTCCCGCCAGACAAAGTCAGGGCTGCCGGGGCCGTGGTGTCCCCTGATGCCTGTGAGGCCTGCCATGCACTGCTCTCCTGATTGCCATCTGGAACTTCACCCAGAGCTGACTCCACACATGTCACCGCACTCCCAGTGGCAAGAGTGTCAGCCCTCCCCCTTGCCCGACCATCACCACTGCCCTCTGGGCCCCTGGTTTCCTCTGCTCTAAGGTGCCTGGAGCTCCTTCTACTTGAAAGGCCTTCCATGTCCTGTCCAGCAATAACAGGTACAGTGCATGCCCTGCCTCCTCCAGGAAGCCCCTTTTGATTTTCTGAGAAAGCATGCCCTGAGCTGGGTCCTTCTCATATTGGTGTCACATGGCCCATCTATGTGGAGGCTGGCTGCTCCCCCCCCCTGCCCCCCCCCCCCCCATGACCTCGTCTGGGGCATTCTCATCCACCGGCCCTGCAGGGACAGAGCAGAAGTGTGACAGGCATGTCGTCTTGAGATTAGACTGCAGCAACCAGTACGGTCTTAAGACATCTGTCGGGGGGCCCTTCTTAACCCAGTAAATACACTGTTCTTATAATCAGAGCCATTAACACATTTCCGTTGCAAAAATTTAGAATACACAGAGAAACACAGAAAAGAAGTTTCAACTACTCATGCTGAGTGATCACTGTAGTGCCTTGCTCCGCAGACGGTTTTTTTTTTTTTTAAACAAGATCTACCATTTATGCATACGTCATGTCTGAGCATCATCGTCATCTTTCCCCAGCACAATGGGAACGAGATTCCTGGCTTGAGGAGCTTCTGGGAGAGAGTTCAAACATGGTGCTATTCTCGCAGCAGGAGGATGCCACAGCGGCTCAAGTTCAGAGGCAGCGTTATGGATGTCGGCCGAGTGTAGCCCGAGGCCCCTTGCTGGGAGGGCAGGCTTGGAGAGACCCTCCTGCACTGGGGTGCCGGTGGGATAGGGAAGGGGCAGGTGGGACCCACAGTCGGCCACAAAGGCACCTGCGATGCCCCGGCAGGTTCGGGCCGAGCCCACCACAAGGTTCCACCCCTTCCCGCGAAATCCTGCTCATCTACACCTGAGACCAATTCGCTGGAAACTACAGAGTACCTGTCACGCTGCCTCCTGGTGCAGAAGTCCGATGTTTGAGTGGAGAGGTACCGACAGCTACATCCCTCTTGGTGGTGTAACGTTCAGATGCGTCACGTCGAAGAGAAGGCAGCTTTAGGTAAATGCGGGTTCTCGGCTCTGCAGGGAGCATCCTGGTCCGGAGATGGAGCGGGAGGAGTCGGGTGCCTCGGCCGCAGGGGAGCGGAGCTGTGTGCTCAAAGCAAAAGCCCTCCCTGCCGCTCGATGTGCCTCTGGTGGAGGTCCCGTGGAGGCCCAGATGTGCGTCTGTCTGGAGCCGGGTGACTCTGAGTCCACGGCTGGAGGACACAGTCGGCCCTCCAGACAACGACCACACACACTTGCACGTGCACCCTGGAGGCCAGCAGGTGGCTTTGCTTCTCTTCCGGGGTTACAGGTAAGAGAGAACTGACTTTCCAACCCCCGGGGTGGGGGACCCCTTGGCGTACGTAGAACATCAAACGTGTGAGCACTCTGGAGTCAGAGTGGTAGGGAGGAACCGGAACTCTCCTCCCTTCTTGGGGAGAGAGAGAGGGAAAAGATTCAGCAACTGTCAGAGGTACGATCTCTAGCTTTTCTCAGCACCACTACAGGTTTAAAGTAACTTGGTCTGCATTACATAGAATGTGTTTTCTGTCATAAAATCGTATAATAGTTTACCCTAATTTTTTAAATTTTTACTCATTTATTTATTTTAAATTAAAAAATTTTTTTAACTTTATTCATTTTTGAGAGACAGAGAGAGAGTATGAGCAGGCAAGGGGCAGAGAGAAAGGGAGACACAGAAACAGAAGCGGGCTCCAGGCTCCGAGCCGTCAGCACAGAGCCCGACACGGGGCTCAAACTCGCGGACCACGAGATCACGACCTGAGCCGAAGCCGGCCATTCAACCCACTGAGCCACCCAAGCAACCCTGTAATAGTTTATTCTAACAAAATCATAAAGTTCTTAGCTGAATGTCCCCCCTGCCCGCCAGGCACCATGCTGCCTACCTCTGTCTCAGCCCTTGTTGTCACCCAGAGTCAGAGGTGGGGCGGGTCCTTCGTGGTGTGCAGGGGGGGCCGAGGCAGTGGCGAGGGCGGGGACGTGGACCCCGGGCGGCTCTTGGCCACTGCTCTGGACGCACCTGTTTCTGGGAAAAGCAGCAGAGTCACAGGCTTCCAGTGCAGGAAGCAATGAGGCTGGCACATCCCTGCCTTTCACATCTTCCACTGTTGACAGCTTCTGTTTTATAAAACGCATTGAGAAACAGGGGAAAATGCCTCCTGCCCTCATGCGATAACCTGATAAACGAGATTTTAGTTGTCCTGTCCCAATGTCTGTACCGCCACCACCCCCTCCGATGCTCCCGGCTGTGGGCCCTTGTGCTCGGGCCCCTTCTCCGCTCAGATGGTGTCTTGCTTTACACCCCTTCCCCCCTGGCCTTCAGGTGTCTGCACACAAATGCCCGCGAGGCGGCCCCGGACCAGGGCAGGCTCCCGAGGTGGCCCTGGGGGTCGGCATGGCCACGTGCGGTTGGCGAGGACCCGTCCCAGGGCCCCGCGGAGGTGGTGGACGAGTGAGGGCCTCTTGCCAGCACCCCAGCACCCCCGGTCAGCCCCGCGTGGTGCCGGGACTGGCTCTGGCCAGCCAGGGTTTTCTGGTAATGTTCATCCACTGCTGCTTTCGGAAGCCAGCTGGGAAGCAAATGATGCTGGGTGGTGATTTCCAAATTCCCTATCAGACACATTCTCTGCCACTCTGGAACTCGAAAGCCACACTCTGGACAGAACCAACGATGACACCAGAATCTCGAGGAATCATGCCCAAGAAAACAGCTCCTCCCCATTCCCGAGGCATGTGCCCAATGCATGCGACTGTGCAGCACAGACCCGCTGGTGTCCCCCAAGGCTCTGACGCCAGCGAGAAAAGTCCCGTCACCCACGGCTTACCTCGGGGCCCCTGAGCCAGGCTCTTGGGGGAGATGGCATAGCCTCAGGAGATGGGATGGAAAAGCAGGTACGTGAATCAGAATGCGCCCAGGCGGAGCCCTCTCCAGATCCTCCCGTGTACCTGCACCCCCCCTCTGCCAGGGCTGAGGCCTGACTCGAGCCAAGAAAGCTGGTGGGGAGACACTGATCTGCTCCCCCAGGGCCTAGTGTAGGTAAGCTAAGCCACTAAAACCCTGAGAAAGAGAGCCCTCGGCCAAACGTAAGGTGCTCCCATTCCTTTGGGCTCGGGACACACACCTGTTCCCTCCACGTTACGGGCTCTGGCCTACAAGCACTGCTTCACGATGTCTCATCAGAACCGTGACTGTCCCTTGAAGACAGCCCGTGGGGGCTGGCATAGCGTAGCTGTGCCCACCCCTTCTATGAACCAGACACTTCAAATGTCACTTCTCCTTGGATCCTGTGCTTTTTCCAGGAAAGCAAACAAAAATCAATAGAAACGCTCCTGGAAACTTCCTTGGGAACACCCTCTTCAAATGGAGAACTTACTTCCTGAGGAACACAGGGTCCTCTGTCAGCCTGTCTCTGCCACGTTGTTGGCCCAGACCCAGGGGGCTGTCAGAAGCCAAATCCCACCCGTGGGGTCTCAACTTGGGTTCTAGAGGTCCTCGGAGAGGCTGGGGGTCACGGGACGGGCGCCCACAGCACCAGGCGGGAATTGCAGATACCAGGGCTCTTGAGTTTCCAAAACACTGAGAATGGCTCCTCTCTCCCTCCTTGCAGAAGTCACACATGCCCCCAATCACACCGGTGTAGCCCCTGGTGTGAGGAAGGGGCTCAGAAGACCCCTTCTGCAGAGAAAGCGGTCACGCACACACAGTAGAACCTTCCAGCCCCTTCTTCTTGGGGCAGGTACATACACTGTGAGGCTTTGTGCCAACTTTCCTTCCCTGCGCCAGAGGCGGGCCGTCCAGGAAGATACACGGAGGCTGAGGCTAAACACCTCACCCCTTCCCGAATCAACGTCCCGACGGATTTGACCCAGTCTCTTACTGACGGACCATTGGAGTGATTCCTTTTTTAGTATCATAAGCACAACTTTGAGGAAGATCCTTCACCAACTCCTGTTTCTTTGGAGGGATGATTCTGTTACTGCTACCTTTACTTTTACGTGGCCTGGAGAGTCTTCTGGGCTCTGTCACACGGGACAGTCTCTCCAAGGTGAGCCCCATCCTGGCTGCTGTGCGAACTCCACTCCGAGGACCTGCCTGCGTCAGGTTGGATGCTGACCACGCCTTCCCTGGTCCTGTTCTTCCCCCAAGTCCCTCTTCTGGCTCTGCAATGCACTTGCCTGTAGCCTTAGACAAGTCCTGAAACCTTGGGCCTGTTTCCCTACCTGTAGGACAGAGGAAGCAGTGGGATCAGCTCTATTCAAGGTAGAGCCTGTCTCTACCAGCTCATGGAACGTGGGCCGTGGGATCTGCTGGGCTCAAGAAAGGTTAGGAAGCAGGTAGGAGACGGGCGTCTGTGCCAGGAAAGGCTGTCGGCAGAGGGTGGGGCGGGGTGGGGCAGGGACTATGGTGCCAAAGCTTGAGGCATGGGCGGCTCCGCGTGAATTGAGGCCCTGCTGATTGGGGTGGCAGGTAGAGGATGGCCTTGCCTGCGGGCCTGGGGCCGGAGTCCAGGCCTTGCTGTCCCCAGGAGCTCTGCTCAGCCTATGAGCAGACAGACAAGCAATCCCCGGCAAAACGGTGGCTGTGCTTGGAGGAAAAGGACAGGACAGAGGATGGAGAGCTGGCTGTCCCAGCAGGTGTCTTGGGAGGCCTCCCCAGGGTGGGGCACAGGGGGCAGAGCATTCTGAGGGGAGCAATCCTGCAGGGAGGTCCATGCGGACCCCACCTCCTAGGAGAAGGGGCAGAGTGGCCATGGGTGACAGGGACACGAGAGCCTGCCTGGCAGAGGAAGCCGGGAGCCGTGTGGCTGGGCGCACACCCAGGGGCTCTGCTGAGGTCTGAGAGGCAGTGGGGTGCAGGGCGGGCCTGGCGCGTGCTGGCCCGTAGGTTCTGGGGAGACCATGCTCATGGGCAGTCCCAGCAGAATGCCACGTGCAGCCAGTGCCTCGCTGGCAGGGCTGGTTTATGCCACCTGAGCCCAGAGTACCCGTGCACCTGCACGGAGAGAGAGGTCCCGGCTCCAAGAAAGGGCTCCGGCAGTGCCGGGCGTTTCCCAGGAGTCGGGGCAAGATGCGAACCCACGCCAGGAGGGAGGCGGCGTCCCAGCAGATGCGTCCTAACAGGAGGAGACAGGTTGCCTTGGACCTTGGTCAAGAGCTGGGTCCAGCCACGAGGAGGAGGGTGGAGAGGAGCACGGGACGCCCCCGGAGGCAAGCGTTAACAGGGGCTGAAGGAGGCCCCTCTGGGGGGCAGCCAGCCCCCACCTGTCCCAGGCCGGCCGCAGCGGCCACTCCCCCTGCCGTCCTCAGCGGCAGCTGTGCACAGCCTCCCGGTGAGCCCCGACGTCGCTCACGCTCCAGGCTTGCTACCTGACACCTGTCCGCGGCCGGGACGAGCTGAAAGCCACCTTGTGGAGATAGTGCAGGGGGTGCCCTGGCGTCTTGGGCCCCAGGCTCACCGCTGGCTTCTGCACCTGGTCACTCAGGACCGAGACCCTGGAATCAGGAAGGAGACTCCGGACTGGTGTCCCTAGATAACCTGGACCAAATTTAGTGGCAAGGAGTGCACGGAAACCCGCACGGCAGAGCTGGCCTGAGGTCCCTGCTCCGTCCTTTCCTCTCACTGGGCTCCCTGCTGCCCCTCACCTGCCCTGTGCTGCCGTGCATGGGGGCCGAGGAGTGACGATCTGCACGGGCTGCTCCCTGATCCCCACACTTACCTGAGGGCCACGCCGCCCCAGGCCTTTCCACGTACGGGCGGTGAGGCTGGACCAACTGCACGCCACCTGGAACAGAGACACACCCTCTGGTGGCCAGGAGGGGTCCTGAGGAACAGACTGTGGTTCCTGGGCACAGCCCTCCTTGGGGGCCTCCTCTCTCCTTTCCAGACGCCTGTTCCACCCAGTTCAAGGTTGGCACGGACATCTGCAGACACTGTCCTCACAGAGGTGGAGGCTGTGTGTCTGGGCGTGGTCATGTGTTCAGTGGACTGGGGCTCTGTGACCTCTGAAGGCACAGGGTCAGGGGCTGGGACACTCTGGGCCCACACTCTCTGCCCTGGGTGTAGCCCTTGGCCAGGCTAAGATGCTCCCAGGCACGGCTGGAGGATGGTGAACACAAAGACGGAGGGCCTCTGCTGGGGACAAGGGAGGAACCACAGCCTGCTGCTGTGTCCCAGGAGAGGGATAGGGACCCACTGGCATGGGGCCCGGGGGCTCTGAGGACCACCCACAGTGGAACAGGGTCTCTGGAAGGCACCGCCCTCCCACCCCAAAGTGGGAGGCTGTCTGTGCACCTGTGTGCAGGGCCTGGGTGGCCTCTTCATTCCACGGCCAGACTGACTTCCAGCCAACAGCTCTTCCACCGGCTCTGTGGGAGCTGGCTCCAGAATGTTCTAGAATGTTCCATTTCTGGCTCAGGACTTTTCTTCCATCCACCTCACCTGACTGGAAACTCTGACGGGGCCAGTAAGGTGGACAGCGTGGTCAGGTGTGGTCACGGCTACTATTCTGCCCTCTTCAGCAAGGGTCTCAGCTGAGGCGAGTAACCTGTGAGCCCAGACTTACGCTGTCCCGCACATTTGATGGGGTCATCAGGGCAGGGTCACCTGGGGAGGCTGCATAGGAAGAGAGTATCACAGCCAAAGCCTGTGAAGCCACGAAAGCCCTTTTCCCAAGAAAACTGGTCTAAATTGTGGTACAGAAGAGAACATCCTAGGAACACCTGCCCATACTAGGTTTGAACTTGAGTACAGCAAAGGGTGGGCTCCCCAGGCCGGTGCATCCAGATGGCAGGTATGGGTTCACGGGCCTGCCAAGCCACAGCCCTCTTCCCAGCTCACGGGCTGTCCCCCGGCTCACGTTCCTGCCCTCGTCTTTCAACGTGCCCAGGACCCCGCTCTCGACTCTTGCTGATGAGAGCAATGGGGCCGAAGCAGCCCCACCCCACCGCCTCCTTCCGGGGGCGGGGGGGGGGGGACTGTCTGGGGGGTGCTGGGAGCTGTGGGCTGTGTCCAGGGATACACAGTGTGACCCCATCCCCGGATGCAGACGCCCTGCAGAGCGCAGCAAGTGCGACAGGAACTCAGCAATACTTGAAGGACAAGAGGAGGAAAGATGGATCCGGAAGGCCCACCCGGAGCAGCGAGAACACAGAAGGGGGGAAGGGCCAGGTCCCCGTAGTCGGCTCTCAGACAGGTGTGAACGAGAGGACACAGACGTTCCCCGTTACAGGGGAAGGTCCTCAGGGGGGGCGGCTGCAGGGAGGCCCACAGGACATCCAAGAAGGGCCGCTCCAGCGGGGTAAGCGCAGCCACGACGGTGAGGGCTCTGCCCAGACGCGGCCTCTCACACAGAGGCTTCTGCTCAGAGTACTTCCCCTTTTTGGGACTCAAAAGAGCAAAGCAAGGCCTGTGAAGGAAGCATCCGGAGAACGTGCCGGGCCCAAGTCGAGCTTGCTCTGGCTGGACTGGAACCGTCTGGCACTGAGGATTTGCGTTCAGCAGGAGCACCGCACGCTTATCTGGAAGGATCTGTATCTGGAAGGATCTCCAAGCTGTCACAAGTTTAACACTACCGGGGGGGTCTGTCTCACTCCCCAAAGGAACCCATCCACAAGGGCTGTGAGCTCAGCCCAGCCCCCAGCCTCCTCTGTCCCGTGGGCCTCCCTCACCTGGTGGGCCGCACACGGCACAGGATGCCCCTCGTGTGGTTGCCAGGTGAGCGGGTGGTCAGGGCTCTCTAGCCTGCTCTCTCGGGCTCTCGACTGATTAAATCCCAAAGATGGCCAGGGCTGGCCCTTCCTTCCTGGGCACAGATTCAGACTCCCCTCTGAAGGTCCCTCGGAGATGTGCCTGGGGCTGGGGGTGCCCCAGCCTCCAGGGCTTTCCCACAGGGCCCGGGGCCCGAACCGCCTGCTGGGGAGTGCAGCCCAGCCCTGCATACCTGCCCCTGCACTGCCTGCCAAGAGCCTCACACAGGCATCCACTTCTGCTGGGAGCCATGGCCGTCAAAACACGCAAAAGCAAGACTTTTTGCATAGTATCACATGTTGCTTAATGTTTGGACACTGATATTTTCTCCAGCTGGGTTTTTCTTAATTTAAGTCAACAAACCAATCTGGAAGCAAACATATTGCTCGTGTTTGGGAACCAAACAGAAGTGACGTGTAGCGGGAGACTTAAGGAAAGCCTCAGGTGTGTGTGTGTGCGGTGGTGTGCCCGCCGGGGGGGGGGGTGGACTCCACCTCTGAGAGGCAAGGAAAGAGGGGAGACAAAGTCCCTGGCCTCTCTCCTGTGCCCCTCGCACCCCTCGCCCCAGGAAGGGTGTGCGTGGGCAGGAACCACACATACGAGGAAAAGCCGTGCAGAGCGATCCCCAGGATGGCTGGCAGCCAGCAGAGTCATTTCCGCCCCAGTGGCACCAGAGTTCACAATGACGAGGGCACTGAAGCTCCTTCTCACGTCCTCAGACGCGGGGCCCCTGGTCCGGCCGAGCACCGACACCCACAGACGAGCTCCGCTCACCAGGAACCCAGGAAGGCAGCTCAGAACAGGGTGCTGAACACGAGGCTCTGTGAAGGTGCCCTATGACCCCAGTGCCACATTTTTCGTGATCGATCTTAACTAGCGTCCATGCGGAATCTTCTTCTTGTGGCTTTTTTTCCATGAAAAAACACTGAGACAACTTTAAAGACTCGTTAACGACGTCCTTTCATCAGGCTGGTCTCTGTATCCCGCAGCGCCTTGCTGTCCGGGCCCCTGGCCTGCGCCTCGCCCCCCAGCCCGCGGAGCCGGCCGGCTGATGGAGGCCAGACGTGCTCGTCTGTCGGCAGCTGGAGCCACGGCGTCCGCGGACCCTGCACAGCTGCCCTCAGCCGCTCACAGACGTGTCGGGACCTGCACTTTCTCCAGGCTCTGGGCCTGCCTTTCAACTGTCACCCCCTTTCCTTCAGACAGACGGACGGACAGACAGCCAGGGGCTGCATGGCAGGGTTTCGTTTAAATCTCCACGTCTTTCAAACTGATAACGGGCAAAATTGATGTGAACTTCAGTTTCCTAAACACAAACTCTCCATCAAACGCTGGCGAACGAGAAAGCAACCGCACACGGGCCGAAGGAGACCAAGCCAAGTTAAATCCCCCTCTGTGACCCCACGGCCGGCACAGCAGCAAGAAAACACGCAAAGGACGCACTGGGACGCCCAGACACGTGGCGGCTCTCGGACCACGGAGAAGGCCTTAGTTTCCCGCCCTTATAGGACAGTGTTCTGAGTGAAATAAACTCTTTCTGTGTGTCCCACGTGAAGTCATTTGTCACGTCAGAGTCCTCTGTGTGCGGCCTGAAACCCAAATCGCACAAAGACCTCCGGCAAGTTCTGAACAGTCTTCACGTCGATTCGGCCGTGACGTCCCACCTGCTCCAACCATGGCCGAGGCTGGGGCTGGCGCGGCCGCCCGTGGTCATGGCTGTGGGTGCCGATGGCAGGAGACACGGCCAGCAGTGCCCGCCTGCCCCTGCCGGGCCCACAGCAGGGAGGACAAGGACATCTGGAGCAGCACGCAGACCCCGCTGGGACCCGCTGGATCGAGCCACCACTTAGGTTTTGAAGCAACCCCCTTGAACAGGGTTTTGTTCCCATATTACAGTTTTGAAGGAAGTTCTGGGACAACGTTGTTGTTCATGACCGGGTTAAACGATGGTTTTGACATAAACACACCTGCACTCGACACGCCTGGCCACCCAAGAGAGGCGACTGTGTGAGCACGCTGTGTGCAGACAGGAGACTTGGAAGAAAACTTGTTCCCAAAGACATTTGGGTTAGAAACGGCTTCAGTCTCTCTAGGTTGTTCAATCAACGCTTCTGCTAAGAAGCAGACAAGGATTAAAAGCCCCAACTAAGTCGCTTGCAAGGTGAGCTTACCTGCGTTGTCCAGAATGGGCCCTGCCCGCACCCTTTGTATCTAGAACTGGGAGCAGCCGACCCACGTGGTCTGCGGCTCTGTCTTCTGCCACATCCCCTCCAGCCCCTGCCCGCACAAGACACCGCGAGGTTTCTTCTCTGGGCACAACGGCGGCAGACCCGTGCTGTCACTTCGGACCTCGATGCAGCCAGAGGACGCGGTGGACGACGGCGGGCTTACCTGGGGCTTCTCCACACGGAAAAGGCACCGGAGAACACAGCCACCCGTTGGAAACCTCGGCTCCCGCGTGGCCAAGGGCATCCGTACCGTATGCACGTGGTTCCGCAAAAACAACCGTTTTCTCCAAACCTTTCATCGTCCTGGTCTCTGGAAACGGGGGAGAACAGCAAGCAACGGCCGCTGCCCGGAGCCAGCTGTCCTGCCCCCGTGGGTCTCCGTGTCTGCGTTCAAAGTACCACGCGCCACGTTAGTGCAGGGGACCCGAGGCTGAGGCCGAAGAACACGACTAATTCTTGTTTCCACATTTCTTTTTATTTGGAAAGTATTTTTGTGTTTCTTTGTGCCTTTCCTTTTCCTCCTTATTTCCATAAGCCGCACTGCAACCTTGAGCAGCAGTGGCTCTAGGCGACCGTGCTGGCTTTTCATGTGGGCCCCCGCACAGCTTGTCCTTGGAGCGGTACACGGCCGTGCCTCTGTCAGCGGGAACCTCGGGGCATCTATCAGGCCCGTTCTGACAGGGCCGAGGAAGCCCTGGGAGGCAGAAAACGGGATGCGGTCTGTACTGCACCAAGGGCACGGCCCAAGCAGGCGGTGCCAGGCCACGAGGGGCTGCGGGGTCACCTCGGTCTGCTCTGATGGGCGGGTCCCCGGCCGCAAGTGGCCGAGCCCCGCCGGGGACCTGGGCCTTGTAGGCACGCCCGCGTGTGGCCGTCCGACTCAGGAACCCTCCCTGGGAGCCCACCCGGGGATCTGGGGATGGGTGGGAGGCATGCGGCGTGTCAGGGACCCACACCTTCCTGGCCCGGGAGGTGGCTGGGGTGCACGGCATGCGGGCGGCACGGGACACGCGGAGCATCGCCAGGGTCTGCCGGCAGCACCGACGACGGCACCCCATGCTCCGCGGGACCGGCACAGAGCGGATCACAGAGCTCCCTCTGCCCCCACTCTCAAGTCCGTCCTCAGACAGACGTGGCGACTGGGGGTCTCCCGACCACAGCCTAGTGCACTGCTATGGTGCCCTCTATTGGAAGGCACTCGGACGAAACCCACACCCGGGCCAGCGAGGCCAGAGCTGCTGCCTGTGAGGACCACGGTTTTCCGGCCCGTTCAGGGCAGAGCACGACCGCATTTCTTGGTGACCGTCAGTTCCTGGAGAAAAGCATTTTCCTCACAGAATTTACAACACAACCACTTCCGCAGTCCCCAATGCAAAGCGCACCCCGGACCCCCACTCGCCTTCCCAACACGTCAGAAACAACAAACGGGCCCCTCTGCTCGCACACGGAGACGCCGGGAGGGCGTGCTTACAGCTGTCGAAGCTTGCCAAGGGGCTCGGCGAAGCAAGGTGGCCCCGCGGCCTGTCCGGAAATCAGACCTCCACGTGGCCACCGCGGGTGCCAGACGGCGGGCTTTGAGACAGCAGCAGGGAGAAGGATGGAAATCAGAAGGTGATGCAGTAATGGTCCTACCACTTTATTTTTGAGGGGAAAGACCCAGAATTTGGTTGACATAATAATAGGATATAACAAATTGCAAATTGGTGAGAAAAGCCTAAAGTCTGTTTACATCAGGCACCGTTCCTTTACCGGTGTTAAGGTAACATGGAATTTAAAATACGCCCAAACCATGCGCATTACAGGCTGTATATTCACCCGGGCTCTCGGTGACACATACAAAGCACCTGAGCTTCCCTGCTGGGGTTTGAGTTGTCACAGGAACCCCTGACAAAAATACAGCTCTCTCCTGCACAGTGGGGTGGAGTTTATTTTCTCCATACATCACACGCTCTATTCTTATTTATCCACATGCATAGCTGCAAGTTTCCCTGGTGTTTCTCAGGTTAATTATAAAGAGACAACGACAACGCGATAATGAAGCATCGGACGGTGGCACTTGGTTGGAAACACTCTTCTCTGCTGCCAGCGACAGGAGCAGATCCCCCCTTCTTGTGTGACCTCTGACTCTTAGGCTCTATCGTCACCTTCCATTTGGAGCGCACAAAGGTCAGCAGCGGCAGGAGAGGGGCTAGGGCCCGAGGAAGACCCTCCACCCTCCGCCCTCGGGAAGGAGCCATTTCGACCAAACTCATCTCAAGGAGCTACTCCTTTTCCCAAATCACTTTGGTAAGTGGTTCGTTTCCATGCAACCGATACAACCCAAAGTGTGTGCATCCTGCACTGGTTTTCTGGCGGTGAGAAGAACATCGCTAGAAAACCTCCATGAGCACTGGTTTCCGCGGCCGGGCCTCCCTCAGGAAGGCCTGAGCGGGAGACACCGTCCCGGCAGCCTCAATGGCTAAGCAGAGAGGGGAGCCGGGGAGGCCAGCTTCTCAGGGGGACAGGCCTGCGTCAGGGGGGCCAGGGCCCTGGCGGGTGCCGGATGCTCCCACCTGCCCGGACGGTGGCTCTCAGGCTTGCCGGGCCCCCCACTTTCTTATCCCTGTGTTAACAGACATTAGAAATGGAACGACGACGGTGTGAGAGAGAAACAAACGATGAACAGCGGCCAGTCCTCTGAACTCACTCTGCCGTAAAATGTGGAAACAAGAAAAGGCACACACGCTCTGTCCCCCAGGACACGTTCAGTTCTTTTAATACCGCACAGACCACCTCCAATGTGCTAGAACCTTTATGTGTCACTCAAGTATTTACTCCCACAAGTTCTCCGTTCCGCCAGCAGGCTGGGGGCGGGGGATGCCACCCCCACGGGAGCCTCCCGGACAGCTCGGCTTCTCTGCCAGGCGGCCCTCGTGGGCGAGAAGCCACTCCTTCGTGGCCCGGCCTGCGGAGTAGTTGCCCACGGCTCCACTGCTGCAGACCACTCTGTGGCACGGGATGAGGATGGGAAGCTGCAAGACAGAGAGGCGACCCTGTCAGTCTGGGCTCGGGGCCCCCAAGGTCTCTCGGCATCCAGAGCAAGGCCCTTGACCACAGTGATGTGCAGGCCCCCGGCTGGCCGCCTCGGCGCTGTGCACCCCTTGGTCTCTGGGGGTCTCGGCACGGGCCGAGGACGGACACGACACTCCAAGGCAAATGAACGGCATTTTCCAGAGAATCCCTTCATACCAACGTTTGGAAGGAGAAAACTGTCTTTGGTAAGTAATTTGCGGCGTATGTTTACAAATTTCAAAATCACATTTCCAAGTTACGGGGCAGTAGGTAAAATTTGCAAACGTTTCGAGAAGTGACAGGAACCTTCAGGGAAGACCATACTCATGCAAGGCACTGGAAAAATGTGGCAAACTGGCACAGTTCCTACCTGCTTTTGTAAATAAAGTTTTATTGGAACACAGCCATGTTGTCTGGGGCTGCTGTTGCAGAACAAAGTGTTTACTACCAGGCCCTTCATAGGGAAGGTTTGCTGACCTGCTTCATGCTCTGCATTGCACTGGGAGTGCGTCTCCCTTCCTTAATCCCGGGATACTTGGAAGTTTGAGAAACTCTAGTCTTCGTCTGTTCTCACCTGAGCAGCCGCTGCCACCATCTGGCCCCTGGATACCTGGACTGGGACAGGCTGTCCAACAGCATCCCTGAGGACTCGAGACCCGGGGCCATGCCCACCCGCAGCCCTCCCCAGGGCGCTGGGGCCTCCCTGTGCACCCACCTCTGGAGACAGACGGAGGAGTCAGGTGCTTAATCAACACAACGACTTCACTAAAAGCAAGACCACCTCATGATGAAAATCCAAATACAATCCTACAAAGAGAAGCCAACCTACCGTTAAAAGGACCCACTGCCAGGACCAGGGACGGTGACGGCTGTCTGGGTGCCGTGCATCACTGGGACACACCAGGAAACAGAAGTGAGGGCTGGGCTCTGTGTGCCCAGGGCCTTCGCCGAACCCTGCCAATCCAAGTTACCGGCAGCTCGACATGCTGCGATACTAGTCCCGGAGGAAGGCAGGCTGGCCTGCAGCCCCGGAGGAGGAGGGCCCACATCGCAGGCAGGTCTTCCTACCACACCCTGATGCCCCAAGGACAGGACACTTCCCCCCGTGCCCTGCAGTCCTTCTGCCCTTGCCTGGGGCCGGCACAGGGCAGACCCATGGGTATCTGGTCCTCCACATCCCAAACTGGATACCAGAGCTCACAGGTCCTGGATTCGAGTCGGGACCACGGTCACATGGGTGGTTCGTTATTCCTGCAGCCGCACGCAGGCCAACAATCCCACCTAACACATTCCCTGTAGTCAATTCTCCCAGCAGAGAAGACCTCTGTCCTCCCCAAGGGTAGGGGGGTCCCTTTCAGCAGCGGTCTCCAGGGGAGCGCCTGGGTCGTCCCGCCACTGGTCTGGGCTGCACCGACGGGAGCTCTAAGGATGTCCGCTGGCAGACCTGCTCAGGGTCTGTTCTCGGGACGGAGTCCACTGTGGAGGGTGGGCACAGTGCGCCTCGCCCCTGCTTTTGATTTCCATGGGGTGGGACACCCCCCGGAAGAAGGGACCCGCCACCGCATCCTTTGCCCCCGGCCTGAGGCGGGGAGGACTCCCTGAGCAGCCATCCTGGGACGAAGGCACGGGAATGCCCGGCACCAGGTGGGGTCCTGCGAGGGGACCTGTCTGCCCCGCAGCACAGATGTCATCAGCACCTGCCTCTGCTGGGCTGGTAACAGGGAAGGGGGGCTCATTCCAGCCAGAATTCCTGGGAAGCCCACTGTGGCCACAGCACCTCGTGAGTTGAGCTTGTATTTGAGTAAAGCTAATACCCTGCTGTCCTTCATCCACTGCACAGCTGGCCCAGGACACAGGAGGAAAAGAAAGGGAAGGAGCTTATGCCCCCTTAAAGCCAGAGTGGACAGGGGCCCGTCTCCAGTTGCTGCCCTCGCCTCCCTGGTGGCCAGTGGGCACTATTTAGAGCATGCCAACTGCAGGGGGCACACCGTGTTCCCACAGTGGGGGCTCTGGGGGATGAATGGTCATTTTGCTTAAAGGCCCCGACAAGCAGTTACTCAGAACCCAAGACTTCCCAGGACAGGACATCTGGTGGATTCTCAGCAGAGTTCAAACCTCTCAGGAGATGGTCTGCCCAGGGGTCCTGGGTAAAACAGCCCTCATTCCTAAGTGGCTGCATCTTGACTGGGGTGCAGGGACGTGGGTGGTCAGTCACGGAAGGCCCAGGACATGCTAGGGTGACGGTTCTCGTTGTTGTGCAGATCACAGCAGTGCTCCATGAACAGCCAGCCAGCACAGCTATAGGAACTGGCCCCGCTCTGGAGACAGACCCTCAGCGGACCCCACCCTGGAAGGGAGCCGGGTGGTACCCAGGGACCGCTCAGCTCCCATCCTGCCTCACCTCCTGAAGCCCCAGACCTGCTGTCCCCAGCCCCTCTCCGTGAACTCACATGTGGCTGTCATGCTCCAAATGTCCTGCAAGGAAAAACGGCCACTCCTGCAGGGCCCTGAAGGGTGAGAGTTTCTCAGAATCCCTCTACTAAGTCTGCAGCTCAACAGAGAGAAGATTCACGTCCCCTACCCCCAAGCTCCAACTCCAAAGACCCGAACTGGACAAAGCGACCAGCGACCAGCCACCCGTCAGCTGAGTTTCTAGCAAAGTGGCTGAACACACGTACCTGGGGTCTCTTCTCATGGCGTCTAGCCGCCCTGTGGCCGTGCACCCACCTCAGCCCGTCACACAAAACGACCCGCCTAGAGTGCCCCCCAGTAGGCCCCGAGCCACACCTGTCTCTGGGCAGAGGGCACGGTCCCCAGTCCCGTCCCGGACCCAGCACTCAACGACACCACCAGGGAGAACGTGGCCTGTGCCCGCTGTGGCACATCACATAGCCTCCAACAAGCCTCAGGCCAGGCACGGTCAGCCTTGGGTTACATTTCCTGCCCAAGTTCCCACGGCAGTTTAGGGGCAAGGAAGGGAGTCCAGCCCAGCGGGGGCGGAACCCGGCGCCTGCACATGGCCTCTCCACCAGCTGCCCGAGGGGGACCGCTGGCCTTGTGGGTAACCTGGCTCGGATGCTGAGAACCTAACTTCTCCTGCATCACAAACCAGTCCCTATTCCCACTGCAAGTTTGGGTTGCCATGGGAACGCATGCAGTCTCAGGGGATCTAAGGACAAGTCGCAGGGTCAGGGCGGGTCTGGGGAGAGCTGGCTTCCCGTCTGTGCCATTTCACACACCGGGAAAGCGCCCGCTGCCGCCCCGTCCCGCAAGCAGCCAACCATCCCCGTCATCTTGGGGGGAGAATCACAACATTTCAAGTCTGGAATATTGACTTTGATTGAGGGTTTTTATCAAATACAATAAACAGTCACATTAATAATTGCTTCGAGGACACAACAACGTGAAACTCAAGTTTTGACCGATAAAGATTCGAGCTAGTTTCACAGATGTTTTTAGGTACCGATTCAATTTCCCCACCCAACGCTGACTTCACGGGCGGGCTCTGGTTTTCCTCCCTGCTCCGTGTGTCCCACAGACCACAGCCCTACTCCCGTGGAAAGGCAGCGACGGCCACCGCCCCGGCCAGGCTTCATCTTGGGCAGCAACTGCGGGACAGCAGGTCGCTTGCCAAAGACGCACGATTTTTACACAAGAGGCAGGGAGCACCGCTTCTGTCCGTGTTGACTTTGGTGGCGGATCTCAGACGACGAAAACAACCAAGGCCGCCAAAATGTATTTGCGCCCTATGGACATTGCAAAGGATCCATACCCTCTACACCCTCTTCTTGAAAGCCTGTACTGCATAAAATGTAATTTTTATCAATAACCAAGCAGCTCATAATATCACAGCTGCATTGAAATCTTCACGCTGTGAAATCTAATTCATCCAATACTGAATCCATCACTTACACAGACTGTTTCTCAAGTGCTATAAAACTTCCAAACCCATAGATTTGTCTCCAACAAAAATAACACGAAGGGGCCTTTCAATCAATAATGGAATCCCTCTGATTCTGGTGCTGGCTGAATATTTTTTCCAACTTCGCCTTTGTTCTTGTGGTAGCAGCCCACAAGGGAGAGGGCTTGTTTTCACTCGCGGCCTCATCAATACCTAAATCCTGGTGAACAAGTGACACCGGGAAGCTGTAATCAATAGCTCCCTGTGCGTTTTTTTCTTCTGGTCAAATGGTTCAGCCCCACTGACAGCCCTGACACTTAGAACATGATGCTAAATCTTTATCAACAGCCATCTGGGTGACTGGCAGAACAAGACTCGGGGGGTCATTAACGCTCGTGGCAATCTGTGAATAAACTAACTCCTCAGGAATGCGTTTGTTTAGAAAAAAGTGGGGAAACTCTCTGTGCGATGTATTGATCGCCTCTGAACTGCATTTAGCAAATTCTGTCTGAGGATGAGCGGAAGGGTGCTCTTGTGGGGGAGGGCCACGAGGCGTCTCCAGACTCACCTACAGGAGGCTGACCATCCTCCGTGGTGAATGAGTGGGGGGGGGGGGGGGCGGCGCACCTTCCAGAAGGCTGCCGAACCGTCTTACGTAGGCTAGTGAGTCCTCTGTGGAAAACCTGGAAAACCGAGCACTTAGGAAGGGACCAAACCCCCACACGGCAGCAAGCAACCCTTCCTCTGGTGGGGAAGAGAAGCCCGCCCCGCAGCAAGGGCTGCAGTACGAGCCAGCTCGTGTTCGCGTTTATCGCAAGCCACCTAAGGAATGAGTGCACAATGAGCTCCGTGGTGTTTTGCCACATTCCAAACCCATTTTTTTTACTCTCCTTCCCAAAAGGTACAATTGCTCTACTCAGCCTAAACTGAGAGAGATTTTCAACGAGCAGCTCTCAGCGATGCTCTGTCGGTGCTGGAGCTGATGCGTGGCGCTCCGTTGGGCCTTGTGCTGCCAGCACCAAGGAAAGGGGGCACCCACGTGGGGCAGCCGCATCAGTCGTGGCAGGTTCCTGGGTCACCTCTTGGACGCCCCAGCCCATTCCAAGGAGGTTTTAGATCAACTTTATGGGAACCCCGTGAGGACCACAGAGCTCCCTGGGAGGCTGAGCGGAAGTTGGCTACACCTTCGAAGTTTTTCTCTCAGGCGCACCTGTGGCATGTCGGCACCAGGCCTGGAAGCCCTGCTCCGCCCTGCAGCTGCCGGCATCTCTACAACCGCCTCGCGTGGACGGTCCCTGCATGGGTTATGTGCGGCGCCCGACAACAGAGGGGCTCGTGGCCAGGCCCCGAGGGCTCGTGGCCTGGCTCGTGCCTGGCTGCTCGTGGCACAGGACAGCGCCAAGAGGAGGGACCAGGCGCTTGCTCGGTCCTCATGCCTGATGTCGTCGCTGCCATTCTTGACCTGGGCACGAGGCGGGGAAGTCAATACGTTGACTTTACGGACATTAGAGATTTAAGCCTTGGGAGATCCTATTTTATAAATTTCAGTGACTGAGGCCACAGTTGAAGAGAGATGTTCATCGAGATTAATAGCAAGAGAAGAGAGTCATGCTGGTTGCAGAACAATAAATGTTTCTGAATATTGCCAGGAGCGTGATCGCTGAACAGTGACGGCACGTCCCTTTCAGAGAGTGAGAAACTGCTGTCATCACACAGAAGGCAGGTGCGGGGCTACGGATGCGTGCCGTCCATTAGCAACGCTTGTTCTCGGAGCAGAGGCGGGCGGCAGCCACGCCCGGGGCCGCGACGGTGGCACCCACCTGCTGCGTCACACGGTGGGAGTCAAGTCAAGCCTCCGTGAGCAGCGTGGGTGACCGACTCTACACACAGGGCACGGAGAGCAGAAATGGGGCCTAGAACACGGATGAAGATCTGGGACAAAGGGAGGATGTCCACAGGATGCCACGACCGCGGTGGGGGGAGGGGACGGGACAGGCAGAGCCCGGCCAGCTTCTGACGTCCTTCTCACAAGGCGCGAAACGGAGCCCGGATACCACGGTGTCCCAGCCGTCTTTCTATCCAGAGCACGGTCCAACTGCTCAACGTGGAGATACAACCTGGGAGAAGGCGGTGGCCTTTCCGAGGAACGATGCAGGTCAAAGTTTGTCAGAAGTGTAAAAAATCACGCTCATAAACCTGATTCCGAGTCATCCTGTGTGCATGGTCAGCGTGTACACCCACAGGGTGTGGAGGGGGTGGACTCTGAAGACGCAGCTGGGCACGTGGCAGCGAAAACACAACAGGACACCCGCTGGGCTCAGCGGCCACGGCCGCCGAGGACTCTAGACGGGGAGATGCGGGCTGGGTGCGATGTGTCGTCCACATCACACGCTGCTTGGACAATCGGATTTTAACAAGGCAGAGAGCTCTTCTCCAGATCAGACACGCATCAAGACAGTGCGATCCACTGCAATCCTCTATGAGCTGCTGCTTAAACCAAACAAGGCCGTGTTGTGCGGAAAGCTGGGTAATCGCCGTCTCCTAGAGATGCCGGGCTCTGACCAAGGGCAGTCGGTGCCAACTGGCAAGAGCGGCGGGTTGGGGTGTGTGAACGCCCGCCTCACCCGGGTCAACGGGGATGAAGAGAATTTTGAGGACACACAGCAAAGCTACAGCCATTTTCAAAGGAGGGAGGTCTGTCTGATGTAGTAACTCCTCCCCCGGGATGTGCTGGTTCTATTTCCTCATCCTGACAGCATGGCACGCTTCTATCCCGTCGCAGACGTTCCCACCGCTTGGGGGAGAAACTGTTTCGAATGTGCTAGCAGGCCCCTGCCAGGCTCTGGACAGGCTGACAAGAAAGAACATTCCAGGCCTCACTCAGTTGTATGGGGTCGTCCTCTGGCAGACCTGGCTTTGGGGACAGGGGCGCCACGGCCTCTTCCCCAACTCATGTGGACTTCCTTCCGGAGACAGCATGGCCGGCGGCCCAGGTACGGGTATGACGGGGAGCAAGTGCCCTCTGTCCTACGGGGTACAACAGGCGTGCGGCCACCCCACACAGCCCATCCTCTGGGGAGCTCGGCGTGGCCTGGAGGGGATCTCCCTCTCAGCAAAACGCGACTACAGATGCACAGGGGGGACAAGGACATGGAAAGGTTGGGGTGAAGCCACCCCCTGGGGAAGACATGCCACCGTCACCACCAAAAATGGGGGGCAGGGGCCGCCCACCCCTCTTCTGGGGGCCCGTACAGATGCCTCCTCTCCTCTGCTCCCCATGCGGTGCCGCACAGGCCGCTTACACTGCAGGGCCCCGGGCCCCCCCTCCCGCCGCCACCTGCGGCCCCGCTGACGCACCCGCCGGCAGCGACTTACAGGATTGGTCCTCATCGCTCCGCCCACTGCCCGCGCTGCTCGGGGCCTGCCTGCCAGGGCTGCTAATTGCCGGTAAGAAACCGTTTCTCCGAGTCTGACAACCTTCAGCAGCTTCCACAACACCTGTCTGGTGAACGAATCTGAAAGGCAGAATGCAGAATGACGTTATGTGGACAAGCGGCTCCCGCAGCTCTGATGTAGAAACCTGCCGGTCTTGAGACAGAAAGCACGTCAACACAAACAGAGGTGCTACAGTCAATTAAAATGCGGCCTCCACACACGGTCCCGTCACTGTGCGGGCTGGCCCCTACGCAGCCATCCCAACACCACGCACCCCAGACCTGCAACCGCCCCCTGCGTCCCCGGGTCCCACGCAGGAAGGACCACGTGATGCTCTTCCAGGACGGGGGCACGCACACATTCGTGAGCCCAGAAGGCCCTGCCTGCCTACTGACTTCAGAACCTCTCAGACTGCTGGGTCACTGCCAACGTCAGCTGGGATACACAAGGAAAAAGGAGCCATGGGCCGGGCTGTGGTTTTATGCTAGGCGGCCACACCCAGCAGCGAGCAGACTCAGAATGCCAGACACCACGTACACGGGGCTGGCAGTGACCTTGGCTACAGGCATTGCGATGCACAGGGCTGCAAAAATAAAATAACTTGATTCCCATTTTAATTGGCAAGCCACATCAGATCGCGCTTGCTCCTCACCTTGCTGTGGGAGTGAACAGGTGAATGCATGGGAACGTTCTCTCCCTCTGCCTCCAGCTTTGCAAGGGAGGCTGGTCTGAATCGATACCTATTGTCTTTCCAAAGGGAACGCAAGGCTCAGGAGCACTGGACATGGAGCTGTGTCCCCCACGGTGGGGGCACCGAGCCCTCCGGGGGTGGGAGTTCCCGATGGCAACGACAAAGGGAAGGTTTCCACGGGCAGCAGCGGTGTTCCGGAGTGTGTCCATAATAGCACTAATTACACTCGGTGCCAAGCTGGCAAAGTGCGATTTGGTTCTTAAAGGAAACACACCCTTACATGCGTTTTAAATAATAAAAATCACTTCTTAACTGAAGGGAATGATAATCACTTCGCTGGAAAAAAAAATCTGTTTAGTCTTTATTATAACATTAAGCAAATTAAACATCAGCATAATCCAGGTGATACTAGAACAGGGTCATCAAAGAAATTAACTTTGTTGTTCATTAATTTACATGGATTAGTAGAGGGCAAAAAGATAGCAAATGTGCTCTACTTTTTTATGATATAATTTCAAACTGTACACCATTTGTGGCAGGAGGGTGACTTTGGGGTTAATCAGACTGATTTGTCCTTTTAATTGCTTTCTATTCAAAGAAAATTCATTAGATAATGTTCTCTTCAAAATTCATGAATCAATTTAACTGAAGAAACCACATTAACAGCTTTGGGTTCATTAGCACATGCAGTTGTGTTACTGGCTGATTGCTCGGAGGGTTTCCTTAGGCAAACACACTCTGTTTACTGTGGTTTCTTCAGAAAGGGTTTTGAAATCAAACTGTTCATCATGACTGCTGTTGCTGTTGTTATGCCTCACTTAAGAACAAACAAAAACACACCGAAAAACACAAACAAAAACAAAACAAAAAGACAAGGAAGAAAGAGGCGGCAGGCCGCCTGGCAATAACTTGGGGAGAAGGCGATTTCAGGGCCGGAGGTCTTGGAAGAGAAACTGCGCGAAAGCAGTCGTGGAGACCGCAAGAAGCGGGGAGGCCCGTCTCCAGCCTTCCTTGTGCAGCACAGAGAGGTCGCTGTGTGTGTGTTCTGCTGGATGCCGCCCGGGCTTTCCAGAAGAAGAGCCCAGAACTTTCCCAAAGCCGTAGGACCACGAGGAGAGGCGCTCGTGCAAGCTCATCTGGGGGCGCAGGGCAGCTCCGAGAAGCCGCGGTGCCGCTCCAGCGCCTGCCTGTCCAGGTATAAAGTGTCTGTATGTGAGCACGGGGTTCATCAGACAGTTTCAGCTTCGCTGTCAATTTTTCATGGGAAATAATTTCTCACCCCATACACACCAGGCCGTGTATTAGGAAAAATAGCTCAAATAAGGCAATATTTAGGAATCAAGCAAGTCGTGTTATAAATGTATCTGAAAACCCAATTTCACCCTGTAGGGAGCAAATGCATTAATTAGTTGGAGCGGCACTCAGCGACAGTGCCTTTGACCCTGACCCGTGCAAAATCAGACCATGAAACTGCTCTTCTTTCCAGGAGGGGCTGGCACTGTCGGTTGTTAAATATCATTCTAAAACGTAGTAAAACCTACTCATAAAAATTAACATACGCTGATGTGGAAGATCTATCTTCTGGAGGTAGAGGTGTCCACGTAAGTCCTCGGCGGCTGGGCCATCATTTCAGGTGGCCCAAAGGGCAGCCATTAGATGATCATCCTTTTCCCTCCCATTACGGTCTCCCTGGGGAGCGGGCATGACCCCAGAGCTGTGCGGAGCGGCCTCTGCCGGCCACATTCTGGATGCTCCTTTCCTTCACCCTCTCCTCCCCACCCTTTCTCCTGCCTCTTCTGGGGCCTGGGTACCACGAGCGGGGCCGTGTTCTGCTGTGGGGCCACCGTAGGCTCCGCTGGGGGCTGGCCTGCTTCTCTGCACTCTGCTCCCTTAAGGACACAGCCGTTTTTGTTTCCACGTGGGTGGCCACTTAAACATGCCCACCGGGAGCACCTACCCCATCCAAGACTGCTTTCTACATTGTCTCTAGCCGGACAGTATGTCATCAGTCTCCTAGGGGCTCACGATGGGGTTACCAACGGCCATGGAAGACGTCATTCTATGTCACGGACACCAGAATTTTATATGTGAGCTCTCTTCTTGCCACTTGTGGGAGCAGAGATCATGGCAGCCTTCACTGGTGTGCCTGCACTGACACAGCCAAGTGGGGCTCTGATGAGGGAGCCTACGCAGATACCATAGTCCTCACGTGCAACGGGAGGAACGGACCCAGGGGCCAAGGCAGACTCCAGGCTGCAGGGTCTTGGACGAGTTGCTTCCTTCCCCTGGGCCTCTGCCTCTTCCCCGGTGATGAACACCATCGCGAGAGCTCCCCGGACGGATGTGTCCTGCACCCCACCATGCACTGCTACGCTCGAGCACAGCTGCTTGGTGGCAGGGCTGGGCCTGGACATCAGGTCTCCTTAAGACCAAGGCTGCCTCCACCATCTCTTCTCCAGTAAGCAAGAACACCACGCTTCGGAGTTCTTTGGGTAGAATCGTTCTTTCAAGGTGACTCTGCTGCAGGGTGTGGGTTCCTGAGGAAGGGCCGTCTCTCGGCTGCCCAGGCCCTCGGGCTCTCCACCACCAGGCAGCAGCTAGAGGGCACCCGCAGGTGCAGATGCATGGGTGTGCGCCAGCAGGTTAAGTATGCAAGTATTGTCTCTCTCTCCCTGAGGAGGGAGAAGGGTCTTCCGATGCTCTGAGCAGAGGAATCGCTCACTTTCTGGTATTATCTCTGAACCCTTGCACCCTGGCCCCGAAGCAACCGGGATGCCCATGTCTCTTTCTGTCGGAGGCCGTCATGGTCCCCGCAGGTGGGCAGGCCCCGGCTGCTTTCCTCCTCTTTGTCTTCTCAGTACTTGGCTCTGGACGTTGGTGCAGTTCTAGGAGGTGTGTATCTGAGTGGGGTAAGTAAGGCCAAATTATGAGCAGGGACCAAACAGGGTCCCTGAGAACTGGACAGTAGCAGGGAAGATGCAGAGAAAGGGAAATTTGGGAAAGCACACTGAGAAGGTGTTTGTAAATTCCTGGACTCACTCCTGACCTGTGCACATGTGGATCACTCTAAATCAAAGACATGGAGAATGGATGTAAGGGTTCTAGACCGGCCGCTGATTTGTAGGACAGCACACCTGCAGGACCATGGAGTCTGAACAACAAAATGGACACTGAAACCACAACCTGCAGAAACCTGGTCAGAACTTAGAGCCAAACCCATCCAGGTTGAGTGCCTCCTAAAAAAACAAAAATAGCAGTGCTATACACTGGACTCACACAAGACTGAGAGCCTAACATTCAAAATGATCAGGATACAATCCCAAATGCCTTGGCAAACAGAGAATCATAAAACCCTCAACTTGTCTTGGAAAAGACATTAACAAACATCAAGGCCAAGATGCCACAGAAGTTGGAATCACATGACAAGATTTTGTCCCCAGCATTTTGAGGATTAGTTGACAAAATGGTTAGATACTTAAAGTGTATGATGTGAGAATTTCATATACATGGCCTGGTAACTTTGAAGGATTTTATCTGCAATAAAAATGCTGTAAGAAGGGAAAATACCTTTGAAAGAAATGAAAAGATACCGAGTTTCAAAGAAATACAAGTTATAAAAAAGAAGCAAATGGAAATTTAGTACAGAAAAATACAAAACACAAAAACTGCACAGTCTCAATAGCAGAATGGAGATGCCAGAGGAAACAGTCAATAAACTGAAGTCAACAGAAATGATCTGATCTGAGAAACAGAGAGAAACACGTTAAACAACAAAAAATCAGAAAGTGGATGCGTAGGACAAAACCAAACGGTCTAACAGTCGAATTAACTGGAGTTCCAGAGGAAGAGGAAAAAGAATACATTGCAGAAAAAATGCTAGTCAATGATAGCTAAAACTTTTCCAATCTGGCCAAAGATATACGACGACAAGTCAAAAGCCTAGTAAACCACAAACAGGACAAGCCCGGAGCAATCTACTCCCACACATATCATGACGAAGCGGGCAGGTAAAATCGAAAGACAAAGAAACTCTCCAAAACAACCAGAGAAAAATGATGTGTTATTTAAAAGGGAACGAGGATTTGAATGCCAGTACGATTCTCATCAGAAACCATGGAGGTCAGAAGGAAGTGAAATAGCAATTTTATAAAGTGCTCGAAGACAAGAAAGAAACTGAGAATTCTATATCCAGTTAAAAAAAAAAACTCGTCAGAAATAAAGCTAGAATTAAGACATGTTCAGACAGAAACAAAGGTGCTGCCAGTAGAGGTGAGCTAAAAGAATTGCTGAAGGAAGGTCTTTAGCAAGAAGGGACCTCAGACTGGAGGGCGCAGCCTGGAAGCTTAGCAGTAAAGTCAGAACAAAAGGAATGGTAATTATCTGGCTAAA